TTTTTTTTTTTTCTTTTTTTCAGGAAAACAGTTTTAACTTGAAGCATATTTTCAAATTTGGGTTCACTTTTGGTTTTCAAGAAAAGAAAAAAATGAAAGAGAAAATGTTTCATAGCTAGAAGATTTAAAGGAATGAAATTGGGTTCCTGTTTGACTTTGAGAAAAGAGTAGAAATTGAAAAAGAAAATATTTCATAAGAAAAAATGAAATTGGGAGTTCTTGTTTGGTTTACAAGGAAAAAAAAGAATGAAAATTGAAATTACTTCATCGAAACTCAAATAATTACTAAAATTTACTTTCTTAGTAAAGAAAATGAAAATAGATATTGATTTCAAATCCATCATGTTAATTTATTAAATTAATTTAATTAATTTTTAATCATTATAAATTAATTATTGAGTATTTTTTATCAATAATAAAACAAGTTTGTAATTTGAACGTCAATAAATAAAAGGTTCCTAATTTAAACAAAAATCTTAGATGTTGAAAAATATTACTAACATTATACATAAGGGTATTTTTGTCAATAGATATATATTTTTATTTTTAAACCGGATCTCTCCAAATGTAGGATTGTACTATTATATTGTCTAATCCAATTCCATCCAATCTAATCCCATTATTTATATCATATCCAATCCTATGTTCCAAACAAACTCTTAAATTCGTGCCCATGAACCATTGAAGCCACTTTGAAGCCACGTTAGAACTAGTTGGATGTCAAATGCCACGCAAGCAAGCCATTACACTAATAGTGTGACAGAGGTCAGTTAGTGGAGGGGCTAATTTGCTTCTTACGTGGGGTTTAAGAGCTTATTTGTCACTTTTTTAGTTTAGGAGCTTATCACTGGCTGTTGAAAAAGTTGAGGGGCTTAACGTGGATTTTTGCCAATAAAATCCTTTAAAAATTGTTTGAGTGGGTAAGCATCCAGGTTGTCCCATTATGTTCCACGTGGCTCTACGTTCTCCACATTAAATAATGGGAGGGGACCAAATTGTAATAATGTTTTTATGAATTTTTTTAGTTTTTAAGAATATAATTAATATATTTTAAATTTATTAATTAATATTAATTTTGATTTTAATATTATATAATTTAATTTAATTAGTTAATTTTTAAAATTAATATCAAATTTTATTTTTTTATATAATTTAATGACTAAAACATATAATAATTATTTTACTAATTTTTATCTTTAAGATACAAGTTAGCAAACCCATATTTTATTCTAAGTGTCCCTGTAAGATAATGAAACAGCTGAAGTGCTCAACTGCTGAATCCAGTTAAAAGAAAAAGAAAAGAAAAAAAAGGCACTATTGAAGGGCTGAAGCTGGGTGGCTCAAAAATTAAGTGTATAAATCTCCAAACCCATATGATTTTGACATATATGATTTGTTTTTGT